AAAAAACCCAAATTTCTTTTGTTTTGTAAATAGCCATTACCTGCACCATTAGGTATTTTAGTCAATCAAAACAAACTCTATTAAGTTAAAGAAAATAATATTGTATGAAGTTTCATTTCCAAGAGGTTGGCAATAGTTACACATTCTGAGAGGAAATGAAGAAAGAGTCTCTCCCTAAACAATTTTTTTATGACCAAGAGAAAGCCACATCTAGAGGTCAAAAATCAGCTTCTCCCTGGGATAGTATTGTATTGTAATTGTAAAATGAGAGTGAACGGGGTCATGTCTTAGCACTACTGTTTTGATTTGTGCATTTCAGTGTTTCTATCATTTATAGATGATTGTTTTGAAAGATTCCAGATGCACACTGACTCCTACCAAGGCAGAATCTTTTTCAAATAATTCTCTCAGTATAATCACTTGAATTATATTTGAATTGAACTCCAGGGTGACAGTATTGATACAGAAAGTGTAGCTATACAGTGAAAAAACAACTTATAGAGCACTGAGGAGTGTTACTTCGCTGTCTCTTTTTATGGGACATGAAAAGCATGAAACCCTTATGTTTATAAGCATGAAAAGGCATGAATCCTTAATGTTTACTACTGGCATGCAGGAATAATCTTTTGTTATAAAAAATTAGTAACCAAAGCAGTTGTATTAGCTGATACGTAACATATGTTTAATTCTCTATATCCTTCTGGGTTGTTTCACTGAACTCTTTTCTCTGCTAAAAGAAAGATGTGATGATATTTAGAAAATAGGAAACCAAGGGATGGGGCACTATTGTTAATTAGGCAAACAATTTTTAGCACTTTTGAAAATTCTATAGTACCCTTATATTATAAAAATATTGCTTTCTCAGTGGCTTTCTATATTATTTTTTTAGTTATTCTCTGTGAGAACTGTTGAGGTAAATTCTTAGAAAGCTTTTTCATACTCACAACCTTGAAGATAAGGGATTCATCCTCAGTTGTTGCTCAAAAGATCAGAAAATAAACTTTGCAGATCTCCTCCTAGCTCAAACAACCTTTAAGGTAAAACCTCCACATTTTAAATGGTGCCTGGCATCAAATAAGTCTCCTAATGCACTCTTGGAGAACTTTAATATCCTGACCCAAGAGCTCCATTAGCATCTAACTTGTAGTAACAACAAACCCTTCTAGTAACAACAAATAACCCTCTAAACCATGGTTCCAGAAGGACTGTACTAATGCTAAAAAATGCTCTCGTTGCCAAACCTATGTACCCAATATTATACCAGTAGCTTCAACAGAAGAGATGCTACAAACAATTGCTGACACACAATAAAAAGGAAACCATGGAAAAAAACTGGACATGAGCTGCACTGGCTGCCTATTGGTCTCCGGATACGCTTCAAGGCGCTAGTCGTCACTTATAAAGCCCTTCATGGTATTGGACCTGGGTACTT